GAAGGAAGGTGGTTCTGAAATAAGGACAGTGGAAGGAGCCCAGAAAGTCAGACCCTCCTGCCGGCCTGGCAGGTGAGTGTGGGAGGGGAAGGTGTGGACCGGGGAGCAAGGAGCCCGCCCTGCACTTCCATCTCAGAGCAGACAGGAGGGTGCCATTTATGGCACGTGGTCACAGGGTGCCCTGATCTCCTGCAAAGGTGACGTGTAATCCTGCTTCTCTTTTCCCCTTGGGCTCATCCAAGGAACAGGTGCCCAAAGAAGAGGAGAAGGAAGAAAAAGAAGAGAGCAGATCAGAACCCGAGAAAGCCGAGTACGTGTGGTGTCTGTGCCCTTCCTCTGTGCCGCACTGTCTCCAGGGGACGCCGGGGAGACCCTCCTGCTCAGGAGGACACCTGTGGTCTCGGTGGAGGGGCTGGCGGAGGACCAGCCCGTGGGTGGGGTGGCCTCTGACCCCTGCCCTTTCTGGTTCTGCGAGTTCCTCTCTCAGCAGAAGAGCCTCCAGTGGCTCTGAGTGATGCTGTCTGCAAGATGACGGGCTGCTGTGGTCCTGTGTTTAGAATCGAGCCTCTCGTGAAGGGAGGGGACAGGCTTTCCCGATGCCTTGCCTGGAGCCTCTGGGGAGTGGTGTTCCACAGAGTGCAGCCCCAGGGCCACCTGCATAAAAGCTGCCTGGAGTTTGTTAAGGATGCAGACCCCTGGGCCCCACCTAAGATCCTGAGTCCGCAGATCTGGTGTGAGGCCAGGGGTCTCCACTTACCCTACTCCTGGGCCTAGGAGCTCAGTTATAAATGCAGCAGTGAGAAGTAGAGAGCTGGGTGGGAAGGAGTGAAAACGTGTTCTTTCCTCAGCACGACGGCTTTCGTTAGCAGGTGAAACCTGCACCCCCCCCCAGGTGTACGCAGTTTCACATGCACGTCTTCAGCAGTTGGGGAGACCAGGGCTTTATGTGCCTTAGGGCCCCTGTTCTCCACAGCCCTCTGCGTCCCTCCTCCAGTCGCTCTCGTCTCTGGCCTGTCCTTACCGCCTGCCCCTTACAGTCACACAGATACTGCACTGTCGGGTCATTTGTAAGCATGGCCGCATAAATGACCGTTACTGTGGAATGTGGACGTGTGTAAATGGCACAACAGCCATTTCAGCGGCAAGTCTTTACGGTGAAAAATGGAGTGAGATAAACCTGTGGGTCCAGTGCAGTGAGTGCACGGAAGCACTTCATGAAGACTTGGTATTTTGCACCTACAGGGATTTAGGCGTCGAATTTCAGTGCTTCTAATCCCCTTATTGTCTGCAAATTTAATATACTGACATCCTTTATACGTGTGAACCGCCAAAGGCACATGCCTCTGACTTTAAGTCCTAAGAACTAGTCAGTGTTAAAGAACACTGTGTCCATGATTTAGAGCATTAAAATTATAGTTTAAAAATAAGGTGTGTTGAAAAGTCACAGCCCAAAGACAGTCTCCATTGTTATGCTCTTTTCAGTTATTTTATTGCCCGATTGGAAGGAAATACGGTGTGTTTAGATACAAAGATACTTCGAGCCTGTAAGATGCCCTGTAGATTTGAACTTCGCGGAATTATCCATCTGTAGGAGGCTATGATAAGCGAGAAGTCCTGCCTCTACTTCTGCAAGTCTGAGCATTCTTGTTCATTGGAAGAGATGCCAGTTACTAAGACTGTATGATCTGAATATTCGTTTGTTTGTGTATTTTGGCACGAAACCTGTCCGGTTCTTTACTTTCAGGATGCCTTCTATTTCGTTCATTTGCGTTCGTAGGGGAGAAGACGGAGAAAAAGAAGACAAAGCCAGAGAAGACAAGGGCAAGCCGAGGCCGAGGCAGCTGCACACACACAGATACGGGGAGCCCGAGGCTCCCGAGTCGGCTTTCTGGAAGAAGATCATAGCCTCTCAGCAGAAGCTGCTCGTAAGATGTTTTAGAATGAGCATCGTTACTGGCGTGTCGTAGGCCAGGCTCGTTCAGGCACAGCAAACACTCACTGACCGGGAGGTGGCGGGGAGCAACCAGGGAGCCAGGTCAGGCCTGCGGGGTGATACTTGCCCGTCTTAGTGTGGATGTGTTACCCTGGATGCCTTGGTCCCGGCTCCCCGCTGTCCAACCCAGAGCCTCGACACGCCTTCCCTGTGCCTGAGGCCGCACCGTCTCTTCCTGCAGTAACTTCCTAACTGGTCCCCTTCCTTTCGTGCGGGCCTCCAATCTGTTTTATACACAGCAGCTGGAATGTTCTTTCCAAATCACAGTCAGAGTGCATCAAGCCTGCAGCAGCCTGCCGTCCCCTCTAGAATAAAGTGATAATTGCAGCTGTAATAAGATGAGAGACTGACTTGCCCAGTAGTAACTTTTCCTCAGAGCGAACTCATGGGAAAGGTTCTGTTGTTCAGCCCCCTCCCAGACGGGAAAGCGATGCTACAAGAGTGATTACGTTCTTCCGAAATTGCTTCTCATCTGTGTGTGTGGGTGTGCTTCTGGGTTGTCTGCCTCCTCCGTGGGGTTTGCATTTTCTTATTCACGGTTATGTCTCCAGCTCCAGGAACGGGACTTTTGATACATAGTAGGCACTCAAAAAATAGTTTTGGGTAAATGAATGAATGCTTTATTTAAATTGTGGATTTCAAGTCTCTTGATTCAATGACCTCTTAATTTTTTTTTACCTTCAGAACTATTTTGCTCGCAACTTTTACAACATGAGGATGTTAGCCTTGTTTGTCGCGTTTGCAATCAATTTCATCTTGCTCTTCTACAAGGTACGTACGTCTTCATCTTCTAACAACCGTTTTGTAAACAACAGATAGACTGAATTGAATGTAGAGATTTCACTGATCCCCTAGTGAGCACCTCGAAACCTATTCTAAAATATATTCTGATGCAAAAGAAACCCTGAATCTCAGGCGTGTCACTCTCTGGCACAGAATGGCTTGATTTGCCCCCTCGCCCTGAGAAACGCCCCCGTTGGGAATGTTCAGTTCGGCAGAGGGCTCGCCCACAGTGCTCACAGCCCCATTTGGCTGAGCTTCTCGCTCGTCCCCACAGCTGGGTGTGGCACGCCTGTACTGTATGAAGTTCTTTTGATCTTTGAGAAGGCAGCTTAGCCATCTGATTTCTTCCTGCATGCGTTGGAATCCTCATAACTGGTTAGATGAGAGGGATTTGCCATTGGTTCCTGAAAAGCTGTCTTCTTAGCCTTAGCTTTTAGTCCTTCCACTGTGCAGAGGCTGCACCTCCAGCTCCTGGCTGACAGGGCTGGGTTCCCTTGCTTCTTGTTCACCTGCGCGTCTTAGAGGAAGGAACTGACTGTCCTTTCAATGGTTGGAATCAGGTCTCCACTTCTTCTGTGGTTGAAGGAAGGGAGCCGCCCCCACGCAGCTCAGGCGAAAATACCCGAGGCAGCAGCCTGGACGGCGGCTCGCCGCGAGTCATCGCCGTGCACTACGTGCTGGAGGAGAGCAGCGGCTACATGGAGCCCACGCTGCGCATCCTGGCCGTGCTGCACACGGTCATCGCCTTCTTCTGCATCATTGGGTACTACTGCCTGAAGGTGCGCGAGGGAGGGCCGGCCATGTGCCCGGTGGGCGCGGGTCTGGGGAGGCGGCCGCAGACACAGGAGGTGCATGCACGTGGTTTGTGAGGGAACGTCCCAGGAACCATGCCTGCGGGCCAGGGAGCAGTCCCCACGGAGAAGAGGGGACATGGGGCCAGTGCAGACCCCACGGGGCACGTCACCGGCCTCCCTTCCAAAGTGGAGAGGCCCCTTCAGGGTGGTCCCGAGCTCTGGGGCGTTGGAGCCTGTCCTTAAAGCTCCATGTTAACCAGGCCAGACTGTGGCTGCCCTGGGGAGGATGTGGCTGTCTTCTTGTAGTTTCCCCTCCCAGACTGGTCGTTACTCACATATGGCCACTCTCACTCATCCGCCCACTGTGTCACTAGCGCACTCCGGGGGACGTCGCGCTGAACCCTCACGTCATTTAGATTGCTCTGCTATTGGGGACCTTGGCAGAAATGCTTCACAGTTTGTCCCACGTTCCCCAGAGGACAGTGCCCCACCAAGGGAACAGGATGGCTGGCCCGGAACTCGAGACCGGCTTTCTGAGTGGCCAGGACTGCCCGTGACCTTCACAGACCTTTTTTTTCCTGGCACGACACCTTTTTGCTGGAGTGTCTTTATTGCACTGTCCCCAGCTTCTGACTGTGAAGATTCTAGAGGCCTTGAAGAACCAGACCCAGGGTAAACGACCAGAATGCAGAGTTTTCCCCAGAAGCCCCCTGCCGCCCTCTTCCTCCCTTGCTGTTTGGGGAGGACATTCTTGGATATTTTCCAAGTGCCTGCATCTCTTTTGTATCTGTGCCTTGTGTAAAGTCTGTCCATATGAGGAGAGAATAAAATTCTGGACACGTTTTGACAAATTGACAAAGATTTTTGCTGATGTTGAAATTAAAATTTATTTCAGAATAGCAAGTGGGCACGCTTGCAAGCATGGAATTATTAAAGAGATTTCTGAAATAAAACTCTACATTTTTTAGAAGCATGCATTTTGGAACATTAGTAACATTGCTGTGTTTCATTGCATCCATTTATATATGTATATATTATATGCGAAAAACACAATTTTGTCCAATCTTTTTCTCTTCAACATTTAAATTGATTTCATTAGCACAATTGTCTGTGACCCTCTGTGTTTATAAATATATGCATGTACTTAATATCCATTCCATCTTCTGTTTTTCCCAAAACCTCAAGATGCCTCCTTCTGTCTAAATATTGCCAATCCATTTCCACTCAATTTTTACCTTCCTGGAATTAACATGGGAAATATTTCTTTCTGAAAGCTGTTTTGCAAAGATAGTGACCACAGGAGATGCTAGTAAATCTGAACTAATTTTAACATGTTTACTTTTTAAATGTAGGTCCCACTGGTTATTTTTAAGCGAGAAAAGGAAGTAGCTCGAAAATTGGAATTCGATGGGCTTTATATTACGGAGCAGCCTTCGGAAGATGACATTAAAGGCCAGTGGGATAGACTCGTAATCAACACACAGTGAGTAAAGACTTAGATGAGACTTTTCATGCTCGAAAAGTTCAAGACGTAAAATGCTTTGCCCGAGTTCCTGCAGATTTGTCAGAAGTTTAGCAGAGGTGAGTAAGTTACATATTCAACTAGGAAAACCAGTAGACTCAGCTCCAGCAGCCTCTTAACGGATGCCATCGGTTTTTGCCCTCTGTGTTCCGAACCCCTTCATCAGAAAGGGCCATGAGTCCATTTCCACAGCACTGATGGACTTTAGCATCCATTACTCTGTGCTCAGCTGGAGGTGCCTGGCCTCCCGTGCAGGCTTATCTCATCCAGAAACAAAATCATTCATTAAGGAAAGAGTCGTAGCATCGAAGGCAAAACTATTGAATGTCACACTTTTAATCAAAGTTGGAAGATTTCAGTTGATATCATCCGGCAGCCAAGCATTTAACTAGCTAAGCATTAGGACGTGTGAAATACAAGACAGGGAGACAAACACCTTTGCTGCACACTAAATATTCAGCCTTGTGAGATCAGGATCCAAACTCCTCGCTGCTGGTTCAGATACAAATCCGTCACGAAAGTGTCATTTCCCAGCACGAGAGGTCTCAGTGATGCAGCATTTTTCAGTAGTTTGTACTACGCAAGAGGGAAATAGCTTCTCTTCACTGTGAGCAGTTTTGCTTATTCACAAAAAGTATGGTTTCTGATAGGTTCGGGTTTTCTAGTGGGGATGATTTATTTGTGCATTATAAATGTTTACCCTAAATGCTCAGTATTCTGCTTAGCAACTCCAACTGCTTACGCCAAATCAAATCAGGTCTATCCTTTTAAGTCAGCTCTGTATCGGTGAAGATTCCAGTCGTGTTACAGCATGTTATGCTCAGTTTCCTTGAGGATGGCTGGTGGGAATGAGATTTTGTTACTTCATAGGAGAAACAATGACAGATTTTGAGATATTTTAATTTTTAAAGACAATTGACAAGGAAATGTATGTATCAACACATTGTAAGTAAATAAAAATACAGATTTGCTTATTAATTAATGTACTCATGGTCTTCACCATTAAAATAGTAGCCCATAGTCTTTTTTGTGATTATATTTATATATTAACATTTAAAATAATATCTAATATACTCAGGATAGAAAAATTATGGGATAAGAAGGGAAACAAATTCATTGTCATTTTTGTGAATGGAAGAATATATGTATGTATGTATTATTCTAAGTATTTTGTTTATTCCAAACAACGTCATTATTTATCATTTTTTAAATAATACTATTTTACTTACATGCTTTTATATCTTATAGGTCATTTCCCAATAACTACTGGGACAAATTTGTTAAAAGAAAGGTAATTCTTCTTAGCGGGCATAGATTTTCCGTTTTTTTTATTTTTTTTTTCCCTTAAGTGCAGTTCAGGTTTGGTTTTGATGCGGCTCATACGTAGAATGAGATGTTGCAGTGTGGTTCATCTTTCTGTTACTGTCATTTCAAAACAGCAATAGGACTGAATGTGAATTTCAAAAATTTCATAAGAAATCAGACTCTGCAGCTAAAGAATCCACAGGCCTGGCTTCCTTCGCCCGTCCTCTGCCTCGGTGAATGGACAGTGCTCAGTCTGTGCGTGAGCACGCGCTGGGCAGAATTTCCCCTGAGATCGTTTGGGTGCCTGAAATTGACTGGAGGCTCTTTTCCGATAAGACGGCTAAGTCGCCAGGGCAGGGCTCCTCCTCACAGGAAAGAGGAGGAGCTGTGTGGCATAACAACGAAGGACTGGGCTTCATTTACTTTATATAAGCTTTAAAGACGTTTTTATTTTTGTGCAGTTTTGGTCTTCTGGTGCACACCGCATCACAGGGTCCCAGAGAGCGCGTAGGTTAAGGGTTCAGCTGCGGGGGCAGCACCTGCCAGAGCTCCGGTGTTGAGGGTCAGGGACCATCTCTGCTCCTCCTGCCACACAGGAGTGGATGCAGATCACGCTTTGGAAAAAAATAAGAAGTATTACCAGTACTTGTACGTTGTGAAATACAGTAATCATTTTGCAGCTCCTGCTTATTCCTTGAACCCTCCAGTTGCCAAAATGACTCAGAGCACCGCCTCCACCACCGCGCGCCCCAGCTCCAGGGCCTGTGTCTGGAGCGGACAGCCCCACGTGGAGTGGTCTTTTCCCTGGATTCCACTGGTTCAGTGCTCCTCAGGGGCTGGTTAGCGCCCAGCAGCTGAGGGAAGATAGAGAGTTTGCCAATAATTTAAATCAAGTACATCATTTAAAGTGAAGCACCTTAAAAAAACAAAACAAAACAAGACTTCCTGGTTGGAAGGAGTGTGTGTGGATTTTCATTTGGTGTGAGTTTGTGGCCTCCTGGTGACCGTGGAGAAGCAGTGTTGTGCTAATGCATCTGAGCGCCTCCAAACTAGGCGAGAGCTTTGACAGAATAATGTTTAAGTAATTTCAGCTAGATAATTTGAATACTTTATTCTTATTCATTACTTAACAGAATAAAGAAGAAACTTCTCAGTTATTAAAGTGAGAGTTTCTCTGAAGAAAACTACGCATTTGCAGCCAAATTAAATAGACAGGTTGTAGGTGCAGCTGGGGCGATTCCTGGCGCTGCTGCTGCAGGGCCCGCTCTGTCCCCGGGAGAGGACACAGCCCAGGCCGCGCAGATCAGCCCAGCCCATCGTCAGTACTGCGGGAACAGAGCGAACCGACAGCTCTGATTAACCTGAACAGTGCACGCGTGTGGGCTCCCCAGCTCCCGTCTTCTGTTTCCTTTACTTGACCTGGTTGGATGCGTTCAGAAGAGGCTCATTTTTGTACCTGCTCGTCCTTTTCTTTCTCTTTCTTTTTCCTTCGTTCACTCTGATCTTTGACTGCAACAGCCGCCCTCCTTCTTCCCTGGTTCTCATTTCCTTTGCTTCTCCCGTGTTCCTGTTCCGTGCTTTCTTATCCCTCTTTTCCTCTTTTTCTGCCAGTTCTCTCTCCTCCCATGTTTTGTTCATTACCTCTTCTGTTGCCTCCATTGCGCTGCTGAGCGGGACTCTCACGTAAACTTTGGGCTGAGAGTGGCTGTATCACAGAGTTGGACGTGCCTGAGCCCACGTCTAAACACTGATCTAAAAACCTGACCCCTGGGCGAGGCCAGGGAAATGTGACAGCAGAGAGGGGTTGCTACGAAGTGATCCTGTTGGTGGGCAGGGAATCCATACCAGATGAGACTCAAACTAGGACACATGGGTGGTGAGGTTCCAGGTCCCGGTGCTGTTGAAGAAGGGCTGGGGTCGGATGCTGGGAGAGGGGGTAGTCGAGTGGTTGCCGTGGAGACCACGGAGGGGATGCCAGCCTGTCCTGGCTAGCCCAGCGGCCTCTGCAGATCTTTGCTGGGACTCAGCCTTGCCTGGATGCAACCTCACCCCACCTCTTGCCAAGCTTAGCAGCCTTGGGCATGTTACATTCTCTAAGTCACGGTTTCTTTATCTACAGAATAGGATGCTAGCAACAGGAGGCTTACATTTTGTGATGGCCACGGGAGAGAAAGCAAGTCAGACTTCTTAGCATAATTCCTGGCACAAAGGATGAATTTGGTAGAAATTTCTTTCACTACATTCTCTCCCGCCTCTGTACCCATTTATTTCAGCCCCTTCCCTCTTTTTGCAGGCCTTCCTCACTGGAATAAGAAATCTTTTCTTCTGCTAGGTTTTATTTAAGACACCATAAGTTCTCTTAGACCTTAAGCGATGTGATCACGGAAAATGAGCCGTAAGCTAGATTTTTAAGTGAACTTGAAAGTAAGACAAATACATACTATGTATAAAATAATTAGATGTGCAAATGTACATACGTAGAGGGGTTACGTAATGGTGAAAGCCAGCACAGGGCTTCTCTTCTTGCCCCAGGTTATGGATAAATACGGGGAATTCTATGGCCGAGACAGAATCAGCGAGCTGCTTGGCATGGACAAAGCCGCCCTGGACTTCAGCGACGCCCGGGAAAAGAAGAAGCCGAAGAAAGACAGCTCCCTGTCGGCCGTGTGAGTGTTTCCGCCGCCCGTCCGGCAGATCTGGGGGAAGGGAGGGAAAGTGGGCACGCACTGAGCTCGCTGGTGTGTTGGCCTCCCTCCTCCCGTGTCCCGAGGAAGAGGTGAGGGGGCAGGGGGGCAGGACGGATGGGAAGTCAGCTTTGCACTCCTGGGTGTTTCGAGCTATGCAATCACTGGATTTAATCTATTGATTTTGAAGGCGCCTTTTTCATTATTTATACAAAGCAGGAAAAGAGAAAGACTTATGTTCTGAATTTGATTGACCTTTTTATCCCTAGATACCACTTAAGTTAAAATAAAAGATGCAAAAGCTCAGTATTTGACTATGTTATTTGAATGTTTCCTGTTTGAAAAGGGCTGTTACCGGGAGTAATTGTTACATACAAAGTGAGTTTTTACCTTCTTTTCCTACATTTAATGCAGGAAAAGAAAAGATGGAAAAGAAAGGAGTATTCTTAAGTAATAGAAGACAAAGTGTTGTTTTGTTTTGCAAGATTCCTCTTTTTTTAAAAAAAAAGAGGCATCACAGCACTGGATGACACGGTCCAGGGTTGCTGTGGGTCCTCCCTGGGCCTCCTGAGCCGGTGGCCAGCCCGCCCCACGCAGCGCGCGGGCCTCTGAGTCTCGGCTTCACGCGCACAGCTACAGCGTCTCCTTTTCTCCTTCCAGACTGAGCTCTGTCGACGTGAAGTATCAGATGTGGAAGCTGGGAGTCGTTTTCACGGACAACGTAAGTAGAGCACACGCTGGCGAGGTGCGTGGTCGGGCGTCTGCAGGTGGGAGGGCTGCTGCTGAAGGAAGGTGTTCAGGTACCAGTTAGTTTAACACTGAGCGCATCTGAGAAGGACTCACAGAAATGTGCGGTTCAGCCGCCGTCTCTCATTGTGCTTCTCTCAGTCGCTGGAAGGTTAAAATGAAAACATATTTATACAGGAAAGCAAACCTGAGAGTCAAATCCATCTGTATTTCCATTTAGGCTTTAGCTAAGCAATGACGTTTTTCGAATTTTTATAGATGTTTAAAAGAAAGTTATAAATTTTTAAAAGATTTTTTCTTTACCAGTAATTGCAATCAGTGTGTTTCCGCCAAATTAAGTCACTAAATTGTGTTCTTTTACTTCACGGATCCCTTTCCTATCAAAGAGCCTAAGACCCTGTGAATTAAGCATGGGACCCCAGCGTATATCCAACTGTAAGGAAGAAATCGCCCGTTACTAAAAGCCACCAGCTGTCAAGGCAGAGACTCACATTGCTCCACAGCACTTCCGGTTCTTAGAGTTCTCAATGTAAATAATCGTCCGTTGTTGTGTGCTCTCACCTGCCGGCGAGGGGACATGCTAGGGAGGATCCGGAAACGGGCCTGCATAGGTGGGCTACGCTTGTCTGCTGCCGGACCCCATCCCTCCCCTCGCTGCTGCAGAAGGGGCACAGAGCACCCCCGAGCCGTCTGCCGGCCCTGCTGCTGAGCTTTCTCCCCCGCGCATCTCGCTTCATCTCAGAAGCTCAGGCTGATTTTGGCACTGGCTTGTGTGGTGCACCTCAGCCCATTCTCCTCGAGACCTGCGACACCCTCCCAAACTCCCCCTCCTCTGTCCCCACCTGCTGTGGGCCCGGAACTTGGGCATCTCAGAGAACCCTCCAGAGAGCTCAAACTCGGGCCTTGTAGGTGTTGTTTTTAGGGCAGTCAACTGTTAGGAAGGTGTCTTGTGGCTGGCTGCTCACCTAACAATAGGAGCAACTCCCCTGAATACAAAGGAGGCTCTCTGACTCCACGCCAGCACCAGCCCCGTCTTCTGCCTGCAGAGCCCGCCCTCCTGCTCCGCACTTGCAGGCCCCCCTCCCGCCCAGGGGCAGCCGGCGATGCTCCTCCTGCTCTGTGGTTCTCGTTCTCCGTTCTCCGGGGAACGGGGCGTGGACGGATCCTGGAGGAAGTCTGAAGGCGCTTCTCCGACACCATCCCTGTGTACTGTCAGACTGCAGGTGCAGGGCCGGTCGCCTCACAGCGCGCAGTGTCTCTGCGATGCGCCAGGGTCACCAGATGAAACAGGGACTCCCAGTTAAATCTGCGTTTCAGATTGTTGAGTGCAGCTACCTGTGTAGCCTTAAGCGTAAGCACATCCCGAGCATCGCAGGCACAGACGTGCAGTTCGCTCCTTTTCCGATGTTCGGGCTTAGCTGGGAAGCCTGTAGTTTTGGTTTGCTCTGTCGGGCTCTGCAGGCCTGTGGACAGTCCACACATGCGTCCTGGCATCTCCCTGCTCATCGTCTGCCCACAGGCTGCTCCTCTCCCCTCGGCCTGTGCGCTGCTCAGCAGCCTGGTCTCGGGCCGAAGGCCCCTCGGCAGCCTCGCCACCTCGCACGTCCCCGCCCCTCCCCGCCAGACCCAGGCCCCTGTCCCCAGCTCTCCCTTTCTGTTCGTGTCTCCGTTTTTCCGGCTCCCAAGCTCAAGTCATTAACCTGACGTCTCCCCTTTTCCTTCTTCCAATCTGTGCGTTTAATGCTTTGCCTACCTCCACCCGTTTCTTTTCTATGGTTCTCCTTTCCACCTTCACCAGTTTTGCAGCTGGTCGTTGCTCTGATCAGCTGGCCTGTGTGCGTGTCCGGTCATCCCCTCGTTTCATGGCTGCGCCGTTGTCACTTCTTTTAGAAGGTGGCTTAACCTGAGGGAGTAAGCTCACTGGCCCCATTGCTAAACTGGGGCCAACATGGCCTGTTTATCAGGGTCTTACTAGACGACAGTGAGAGGCTGTGTGTGAGTATTTGGGACAGTGAGCAGCGCCTAGTAGGTGCTCAAGAAGTGTTCACAGGATGCGCCTTTTTCTGCACTGTCGTTCTGTTCCTGGTGCTCCGGTGGCCCCCACGAGCCTGCGGGGTGTACCCACACCCTGACCTGCTCTCAGAGCCCTCCAGCCCTGCCGTGCCCTCCAGCCTCAACCCCCAAATCAGAAACTCACCATCACATCGAACCGCCCTCCCTGGGGGCGCCTTGCACTGTCCCACCTCAGTGTCTGGTTTTACATGCTGGTTTCTTTTTCCCACTCCATCTCTGGCTTCAGCCCCATGGTGCCTGGGAAATCTCTTGTGCCACCTCAGCCCCCCTGTCTTGTTCACTGTTAAAGATGAAGATATATTCTAGTCAGAATGAAGGTGTCCCCCACCCCAGATGGGCAGCTCCTGACTCCAACGGCAAAGTGTGCCTTATGCAGAAGACACTCTAATCCAGACAGTAAGAGCGGTCACGGTGTGGCTCATCTTCCTTTACTCACTGCCTCCCACCGCACAAAAGAACACGTACGTTTTTCTGACCTATGTGAAGTCCATCCCTTACAGTGACTGTCGTCAAGAAGATGATGGTGTTAGTGGGCGCGTTACAGCCTGCTGCCACGTCAGACCGTACCGGGTGTCCCCCGGACGGACTCTGGCTCACATAGAATGAGCTGCTTGGTCAGTGAAGCACTCCTGTACTCCTGTGTAACTAGTAGGTCGTAGCAGACACGGGTCAGGGGGTGAATAGATGAGTGACTGAGGGAGGGGCGGGGGGGGGTTGGCTGGTTCTCTCACCGCAGAGCAGGCGTCCCGCCTGGGGCGGTTTGCCCCCCAGGTGGCATCTGGCAGAGCCTGGAGACACTTGGCTGTCACGCCCAGGGAGGGGGACGCTGCTAACTGGCATGCGATGGTGCACAGGACGGCCCCGCAAGGAGAGGTCTGGGCAGGCTGTCGCAGGGCCGAGGTGGGCGTTGGCAAGCTGCTGGTGAGCTGAGGCTCAGCACGTTTCTCGACGTGCTCGCTCCTGGGGGAAGAGCAGGAACAGCCGCCCCGATGTGAAGGAGAGAATGGCACTGAACCCTGCAGAACCAACCGATCAAAGTAAAACGCGCAAGCAGACTGAAAGGACTGCTCAGAATTAAGTAACTTCATAGTTTTAAGAGGGTGAAGTAGACGGAGCGGTTGTGCTGGCGTGAGATCAGAGTAGCCTTGGGCGCCCGTCCGTCCTCCGCCCTCTGACGCTCTCTCTCCCGTCTCGTGCCCCTAGTCCTTCCTCTACCTGGCCTGGTACATGACCATGTCCGTCCTCGGGCACTACAACAACTTCTTCTTCGCTGCTCATCTTCTGGACATTGCCATGGGGTTCAAGACCCTAAGAACCATCCTGTCGTCAGTCACGCACAATGGCAAGCAGGTGAGACGTACCTCTGCTGCCCCTGCGAAAGCTGCCAGAGAACAGCGGCTCCAGCAGGAGTCAGACCAAACCCCAGTGACGAGGGCACAGGCTTCAGGAGCTTTGTGATTGGCAGCTCTGTCCTTTGTCTCCTATAAGCCGGGAGGACTCGCAGTTGGAGAGGGGCCCAGGCCTCCCCTCAGGCCTCGGCCGTATGACCTCGGATAAATGGTTTGACCTTCCTAGACCTCAGCGCCCTCATGTGTAAAATGAGCACAGCAAAAGCACCTTCCTTACCCGGGTTTGTGAGAATTAAACAGACACGCAAACGCGGAGGCCTCAGCACAGGCCCTGGCACACGCGGCGCTCAGGAGAGCGGTTCCCGTTTTGTTCCTAATCGGGTATTTGCTCCGTGGGCTGTGAAGGTGCCCAGAGTGTCTGCGGCAACATCCCGACACTCTAGTTGTACTAGTGATGGCACATGAGATGCCACCTTCCTGGCTGAATATTTTGTTTTAAACCTGGGTATTCATGTGCTTTTTTTCTCCACTTTTAAATTGGGCAAAGAGAATAAGAATGTTTCATACTGGACGAGGTCGTGCTTCCTTGGAGGAAAGTTGGCAGAATGACACATAATCAACTTACGTTCTAATGCAGCCCATTTGTAATATTAAAACTTTCATCATGAATGGTGTGTTACCAAGTCATTCCCTACTTACCCAGTGTCCCCCAGGGGTGACACCGCTTGTGTTAGTTACCTGGACTACAGAATCCTTCTTTTCCAGAACTTTATAATCCAGCATATTTTTCAGTTAGTGCCCCTCCAGAAAATCTGGCCAGTGTCCACGGGTACGTTCACAATGATGACCTCCAGTTCTCTGAATTTCAGCGGGTTGTTCTCACATGTCGGGCTGGTCTCTCCATGTGAGCGCGAGGCACGTTGTGGGTCTGGGACAGACACATGCACTGTGCTCATGCGTCAGTCCGTCAGCAGACTGGCTGTGAGCTCCCAGTTCGTTCAGACAACTGGAGATGCCAAGTCTACGGGCTGTTTTCACACAGGACGTCTGGCACGACTCGCAGTCAGCTTCTCAACTTTTGTTGTGATCATTCTTTCTCTTTTTGAGGCATCAAATTTTCATTTGCAGGAATGTACAGAGCTTCATAGTCCTTTAGGTAAAACATGCAGAAATTTATAGTGGCTTTGTACTTAATTTACAGAAGTGAATTAAGCCCTCTATGAAGACATGTTTTTTCCAGACAATTATGAAGTGATTTTTCAGAAGACTTAGCATGCGCTGCCACAGTCGAGAACACGGGATGTGTCGTGATCAGAGGACACATACACAAAGACTAGCGCACTTAAGTGTGTGTGAAATTCCTGTGATATAACCAGAAATATATTTTCACCAACTTGGTGAAAGTCACATTTTGAAAACATACATATTCAACTACAAATTCTGTGTGTATTTGTCTATATATTCTGTAAAAATGTGCCTATACACACATACATACGTACACGTACTTAGCACGTAAACACAGTCTGGAATGCAAGAAAGGCTGCCTAGAGCTGAAGGAGGACCTTTCAGACTGGGACGCTTGTTTCTACACTGAGGAGATTTGCCACCAGAATAGTGTTAGTCGGTAGCTGTTACAGTGTCTTTCCCTTTGGTCTTCCTTCCCAGGTTTATTTTCTCAATGTCTGTTTTGGGCACTCTCAACAGTGGTGCATGTCCAGATGTTAGACGCTGTACAAACTCCTGTTTAGGTTTAGGATGCGACTGAAAGAAAGCATGGTTTATAATCCCTCTTCCTGCTGTAACAAGATTGAGCTAGTTCTTATCAGACATGTAAATTATTTAAAGACCTTATAAAAAGAGAGAAAGGACTTAATACAGTAACTGCTACCAGATACTTAGATGATAGAAAAACGGACATTTTAAGCTGCTTATTAACATTATGAGTATCAATTTGGATGTGGAACTAAGTCAGAGTTTATTCATATTCCAGTCATAGTAGGTATTTATTAGCCAATTAAGTGGTCCGGTTTCACATAAAATAATCTGACAATTTTATAAAATAAAGGGACTATGAAAATACATTTCCCCACTGTGGGGGTGGGAAAGGTTTGGCACGAGATGTGGATGCCAGTAGCTTCTAGTCAGCGAGTCCACTGCCGCGTGTTTCTAACGTACGTTCTGTGGCACCTTGCTTTGCAGCTTGTGCTGACCGTCGGCTTACTGGCCGTCGTCGTGTACCTGTACACTGTGGTGGCGTTCAACTTCTTCCGAAAATTCTACAACAAAAGTGAAGATGGTGACACACCAGATATGAAGTGTGATGACATGCTGACGGTAAGGTCATGCACTTGGGTCTCACATGAATTAAAGAAGCCCCCTTCTTCTTCAGTCCACGTAACTGTGTAGTGGTTCTTCAGCCGTGCAAAACAGAAAGCCATGTGCGCGGCAGACAGCGGTGTGGCTTTTTAAAGAATAGACGGGTTTCCTTTCTCGTGGGACATGAAGGACTGTTTTTGCCGGTTTTGCTCGTCTGCTGCGTCCGCCTGACGGTGGAAGCCCCGAGTGGAGTACTTAGCCCCGAAGGGCTAGTGGCGACACCCGAGGCCGTGGTCCGTGCGTCCCAGGACGGCAGCTGAAGCTGCTTCCTTGCAGAGCATGCCGGAGGCTTAGGTGTTTGTTCTCCTTCGTGACTTTACCTGAAAGTACGAAAATCCAAAAATACCTCATTTACATTGAGTATCCTGGCTTGGATTACCCTTGTTTGCTACCCTAGTCTTGGTTTTAAAACCAACAGGTGTTGCTTTATCACCGTTCTGCAACTGCATCTCTGATATTGGCCAGTCAGAAATGATCGTACCTGAGACCCCGGAGGGGGGCGTTAGACAGAATATTTAGTATCTAGCTGGGAAAGAGAAGACTCCTTCAGTGAGCTCCACATCGAGGTGCCCACACCGCTGAGGCGTCAGTAACAGAGGCTGACGTCATGCTAACGTTGTTCTGGACACTCAGCCATAGAACAGAACGGAATAATACCGTCTGTAGCAACGTGGATGGACCCAGAGATGATCGTACTGAATGCAAAAAAAAGCCAGACAGAGGAAGACAGACATCATACATGGAATCTAAAATATGACACAAATGAACTTATTTACAAAGCAGAAAAAGACTCAAAGTGGAAAGTGGAGGGGGGATAAATTGGGGTCTGGGATTAACAGATACAAACTGCTATATGTAAAGTAGATAAGCAGCACGGTCCTACTGTACAGCACAGGGAACTGCATTCAATACCTTGTAATAACCTTCAGTGGCAAAGAATATATACATAACTGAGTCACTGTGCTGCACACCTGAGACTAACACAAATTGTAAATCAACTATACTTCAGTTAAAAATAAATAAATAAGTAAATAAATAAAATTACTCTAGAAAAAATAAACATCTCGGAGGAGTAATGAGAAAGAGACACTAATATTAAAAAGACTAATGATTAAGACAGTTTTTGTACCAGAGAATGGCAGATCAGTAGAACAGATTAGAGTCCAGGAAGAAATTCAGATACGCATGGAAATTAAAGGTATGAAAAAAAACGGCTTTAAAAATCATAAAATGGAAAATAATTTGATAAATGGTATTAGTACCATGGACATGCTATTTGGGGGAAATTGATGAAAATGGATGCCAACCAAATTCTTCACATCAAAATAAACTCCAAATGAAACAAACATTTCAGTGCCAAAAAAAAAAAAAGGAAAAACAACAGTTAGAACAGAATTTAACTTTTGAAATAATAACAGTTTTTAAACGGAGGAGAGGTCTTCCTCTGTGTGACATAAAACCTAGGGTCCAGGCAAGCATAGAAAAGTACTTTAAAAAGGAAAGACTAACAGTGAGAAAACGTTAAAGGCAGGTGCCAAACTAGCAAAGATACACCGAGCACCGTGACACAGGACGAGGTCCCTTAATTTACAGGGCCTCTGTCGCATCAGAAGTAAACCAGTAGAAAAATAAGGACGTTGTATGAGTACACAGCTCACAGTAAAATAAACTGAATCAGCTTATAGTGGAAAGATGCCTCGCCTCTTTCATAATTAAAGAAATGCAAATCAGAATCAGTTGCCACTTTTAACCTATCAGGTTTGCAAAATATTCAAGTCTGTTAATACCCGGAGTTACTGAATTAATTGAAAAACTGGCACCTTCATGAACACTGTTGGGACTTTAAGTTAACACAATGGTTTTAGAGAAATTTTATGATAGCTGTCAAGTTTGTAAGAATATTTACTCTTTAACCTGTCAGTACCACTGCTAGTAATTGGCCTGTTTGTTTTTTGGGTTTTGTTTTTTTTTAATGGCGATACTGGGGGTTGAACCCAGGACCTCGTGCCTGCTAAGCACATGTGCTCCCCCTGACTATCCCTCCCCCGCCAGTAACTGGTCTGTTTATTCACAAACGTGCCTCTGTGTGTTCAAGGGTGTTGCTGTCATAAATTGGAAGCAGTGTAAACTGTCATCGACAGGTTCCTGATTAAAGCAATATGGTGAATCCATGTGCTAGGAAAGCACGTAACACAAGTACGTGCCTGCTGGTATGGAAAGACGTACACGTGACATACAAATGGGGGGAAAGCCAGATCCTGAACAGCATTATGATGGGCCCCTAATTGTGTAAGATGGCGCACACGCGCACACGCACACACGAGTGTGTGTATTACAGATGCTAGAGTGTGTGTACGAAGTGTCTGGAAGGAGACTAGGAAACTGCCACAAGGTTCCCCCAGGAAGTGGGACCACCCATGAGGGAGAGGAAGGCCCGTGACTAAGGGGCTGACTGCTCACCAGGGCCACCTCCACCAGAGTCACCAGCAGGTGACACCTCACCGCCCCCTGCGGCCCCTCTGCCACTCCAGACCCCCCATCTCTTCTGTGTGCTGCCCATGACACCACCTTGTCCCTCCGTCCCATGACCCTGAAGACCTGGGGTAGTGGCTGGCCAGAGGTGGGGCTGGAGGGGCAAGGAGGCACAGAGGACGGTGGATAAGACCCACCAGTCACACACTGACGCAGGGAGCCTCGTCTGCACTCGGGGGCAGCGCCGCATCCGCCGCCTCAGGCCTGGCAGCGTTAGGGAGGTCACCCGCTCTTGGAGGGCACGGCGCTCAGTGAAGTGCTCAGGGTCGGTGGGAGGTGGGGCTGATCTCAGATCAGACTGTGGTCTGCAGTGGCCTGTGTTACATGCGGGAATGAGACGGGACGCAGACCCCTCAGTACGGCAGTACGACCCCACACACCCTGGCCTCTCCCTCCGACGTCCTGCGTCGTGTTGGGCCCCACGCAGCTTGTGCCAGTGGTACCCTCGTTGACTACATTTTGAATTCTGCCCTCAGGATGAGTCCCCACTGCTTTTGTTAATTTTGTCTGTGGGCTTATTATGAGAAGAATCCATGCATTACTTGAACAAGGGGCAGGCCAGGAACACCACAGCCTTGCCCTGGTCGGCTTCACCCACTTACACAGGATTTGTGTCAAGAGGGCGGCAAAGTTTGCCTCACTTCAGCATGAATAGGCTTCTTGATGTTTTCAGCTCTGGACTCGGGTTACCCTGGTGGCCAGCCAGCCTTTTAGTCATCGCTCCAGCCAGGGTTGTGTTGAGCACCAGGAATTTCTGTCCAAATGGGTGAGACCACCTCTGCCCACCTCTGCTGTAGGTGTTCACAGCTCTCACGGAACAGGAGGGGCATCTGGCTGTGGGGAGCTGGGAGGCACCCTAAGTGCGCGTTGCAGGTGTGTGTTTCTTGCAAGAGAAAACTCAGTTCCAGGATCCGAACTGCCTCATCTCCTCCCTGTTTGGTGACTCCGTGCTGCGGCCAGTCACTTCAGCCAGTCCAGTGATCGATGTCAGAGCTGCCATGTTGAGGTCACGCTACCTAGTTTAGGTCCCAGAACCCTCTTACTAATGTTTGTGCAGCGAGGTTTTGAAGAAGCCAGCGACACTCACAATGTAACTAACCACTGACGGTCGTGTTCTTAAAAGCAGAGGCTTAATAAAACCAAACAGCGGGCAGGACACAAGTACGGAGGAGGAAGTGGTCAGATTTCTTTTCCTTAATTCCCAAAGAGAATCCTTCTTGACGCCGCCTCCTTGGCATTTCTTCCCCGCGGATGATGCCTGGCGCTCCCGTCGGAGCAGGCTTTGCTCGTTCACATCGTATTGTGTTGGTGTCACCCCGAGTTTTCTAGTTTTCGTCGCCTTTGCTGTTTCTAGCCGTTTCTTCGGGTCTGAAGGAGCACTTCAGGTTCCCGAGGGGCAGGACGCACCACCAGTGTTTCACCACGTACGGCAGGTGGCACTGTGGCTGCACTTTTACAGATGCAGTGATGACTCACTTCAGTTTCTTTCCTTCCTTCCTTCTTTCTTTCTTTATTTAGGATCATGGTGTTTTGAGCCAGAGAAACTAATTAAACCAGCAGTGACCTGATAGAGCTTGAACCTCTTCTCCAGGAATGCAGGAGAGTGAAAGGTGAAGCTGTAAAGTCCAGGGCAAAAGCTGATCGTAGGTGGAGGGCCAGGGAGACTGACTTGGTGTCTGTGCGGGTATTCATGTCAGAGGGCGTGGTTCTCAGCCTCAGATGCACGGAAAAAATCACTGGGGAAACTCTTTATAAATCCATAGATCTGCTAGACCAGCCCCGGGTCCCTGAGTCAGAAACAGTAGGGAAAGTAGTTTGGAGTATTTTGGGAAGAGCTTTCCAGGTGATTGAGATAAAACTATACTCCTAGGGCAGTCGCCTGCTTTGGTGATGGCTCTAAAGCTTACTTTACTCTCCCTTCTCAACGAGTCATCTTCTCTCTAGTTCATTCTCCTCCTCCCTCCCTGTGTCTGTCTCTCCCCACTGCTGGGTGTTTTGTTTGGCTGGTTGGCTGGTTGGTTTTTCTATCAAGATAAAGATCTTAGGATTGAACAACTGCCTCGTCCCCGTTTTTGTGGAACCAGGCACCTTCCGTCCTCATTACTCGGATTCTCTGAAGAAAGTGGGTATCTTTCTGCTCCAGCTCAGATTGTCAGGTTGAAACCAATTCTCTGAAAAGGAAGATGGCCGAAAGGATGTCCCTTTTCAGGGACAGGGGGTTAATGTGGGAGGTGAGAGCCTGCAGCCCCAGAAGACACCACCCCCACAGCAGCCGTCTCTCTGCTATTTCCAGTGGTAACTTCTGATAATGAAGGACCCGCTTGGGAAAATCAGTATCAAAATCCCACTGGTGAATTGTGCATTTTATTCTTCTCAACTTTGCTATGTTATTAAGCCTAAATCATCAAATCCACAGAACTTCCCCTGTCTGTTCTGCATGGCCACAAGTCTGTTACTGAAATCGGATGGAATCCTTCCTCAAAACTCTTACTGCTGTCATAGAATGAAGGCAGGCAGTGAGACAGGGGCATTGCCAGGAGAGGCTAGGAGGCAGATGAGAGAGCTGAAATGAAGGAGACATTTACTTTGGTAATTTAGCCTCATTCCATGGTCTTGTTTTCAACTTTAATGTCTAGAAGCTAAAAGTGAATCATTCGCTTGAGGACAGACTCCCATTAACCAGGCTCCTAGGAGTCAGACGTGTGAGTCAGAATAGCAACATTCTACTCATTAAGAGTTCTCGACGCAGCAAAGGAAGTCATGAACAAAATGAAAAGACAGCTTACAGAATGGGGGAAAATATTTGCGAACGATGCAACTGACAAGGGCTCAATTTCCAGAATATACAGACAGCTCATACAGCTCAGTAACAGAAAGACAACCCAATTCAAAAATGGGCAGAAGACCGAAATTGACATTTCTCCAAAGAAGACATACAGATGGCCAATAGGCAAGTGAAAAGATGCACAGTATCATTAATTATCAGAAAAGTGAAAATCAAAACTACACTGAGGTATCACCTCACACCAGTAAGAATGGCCATCATTCAAAAGTCCACAAACGATAAATGCTGGAGAGGACGTGGAGAAAAGGGAACCCTCCTACACTGCTGGTAGTAATATAGTTTGGTGCAGACATTATGGAGAACAGTATGGAGATTCCTTAAAAAACTAAAAATAGACTAACCCTATGATCCAGCAATCCCACTCCTGGGCATGTGTCTGGAGAAATTTGAAAAGATACATGCACCCCAGTGTTCACAGCAGCACTATTTACAATAGCCAGGACATGGAAGTAACCTAAATGTACATCAACAGATGACTGGATAAAGAAGTTGTGGTATATTTATGCAATGGAATACTACTCGGCCATAAAAAAGAATGAGAAATGCCATTTGCAGCAACATGGTGGACCTAGAGATCGTCATACTAAGTGAAGTAAGCCAGACAAAGACAAATACCCATGTGATATCACTTACATGTGGAATCTAAAATATGATACAAATAAACTTATTTACAAAACAGAAAGAGACTCACAGACATATAAAACAAACTTATGGTTACCAAAGGGGAAAGGCAGGGGGAGGGATAAATCAGCAGTTTGGGATTTGCAGATACTGACTACTATATATAAAAGATAAGCAATAAGTTTCTCTTGTACAGCACAAGGAACTATATTCAATATCTTGTATCAAATAACCTATAATGAGAAAGAATGTGAAGGATGTGTATACATGCATAACTGAATCACTGTGCTGCACAGCAGAAACTAACAAACATTGTAAGTCAACAATTCTTCAGTTAAAAAGAGACCATCAACTTGTTGATGGTCTCTCCCTGTAGAGAAGCTCTGTCTGGGGGCCGAACCGTCATCCAGAAGTCTTGGTCAGCAGGAATTAGCAAGAATTAGCTGGATGATCATAGTCACGTGCAGGTCAGATAAGCAGGGTATGGAGGGCGAGGTCACTGCGGGACCGGAACTGGGAGCTGCACTGATCCACCATGGGCCCCTCTGGGTATGGTGTGGGGAGTCAGAGGGCCAGAGTTTGACGAGAGGTGTGCCAGACCACAGCCAGGTGGACTGTCCAAGCTAAGACCCTGCCCCCACTGGGCAGAGCCAAGTGCGGGAGAGCCAGGGAAGGCCCGGCCTCTGTTGGTCCGTGAGAGCCCAGGTGGGCGCGGTCACAGTTCTACTCCCTGCGGCCGCAGTGAAGCTCATACGAAGACCGATTTGGAGAGAACCTTATAACCCCTAGTTGTTCTTGTTAAAGATAAGAAATGCATGCGGTAAAAATAATTCCAACAGTGTGTCAGAGGATACAGTGAGAATGAACTTTCTCTTCCCAGATACCCACTGTGAATGGTGTCAGGTACTGCTGCAGACAGACGGTTCTGAGAGGTTAATGCAGGGCCCTGGGGGCTTTTTTATTAGGAGACTGTCTTCAAAATTTCACTTCCAGAGGCGGAGTCAGTAGGTGGTACCAGAAATCCAGAGGGGTCGAAGCCCCGGGAGACGCAGGTGCGGAGTTCAGTTCCAGCTGCATCCGTCTCATCGGGCCGTCTGCGCAGAAGGACCGTCCTGGCCTCTGCTGGAGAGGCCTTTCCCTGGGCCCCGGGCTCTCCTGGAGTGGGCGATGGCTGGGGTGCCTCTCGATGCTCTTGCCCATCACGTCCCAAAGTGACAAACCTCTTTTCTGGGTGACCCAGTCTTTGTTTAGTCCTGCACATTAAATTCCCAGCGCCTGACTTAGGAAACTTTGTGTATTCTGCGTCTGTCAGTAAGTCAGCTGTTGAACCAGGAGCACTTTGGTCTCACCTCGCTGCCTGTTCTTCGCCTGAACTTTGTGCTCTTAGGGTGATCTGAGGACCTGAGGTCTGGGTTGAGGCGTCCAGTCGCCATTAGAGCAGCTGACCAGTCATCGCTTTTCCCCCTTGTTCATCTCACAGGTGGCTTTTGAGCGCCTGCCGTGGGCTGGACATTGTCTCAGCACTGATGGTAGAGCAGGGACCACAGTGCTTCCTCTCCTAATGGGACCAGTTCTGGTGGGTCAGATAGATCACAAAGCATCGAATAAGAAGTAAGTTGGCTGGAATTCAGCGAAGAGACCCAGGGTGTAAAGAGCAGTGTTTTGAGGCAATTAGCGCAGATGGTACTTAAGTATGGGACTGGAAAAGTTCCCCAAGGAAGTGTCGTAAAAGAAAGTAAAAGTTGAAACACCCCACTGGGCAGGAGTTCCTGAAGGAACAGGGAGGTGGGGATGCCCTGGCCGAGGGGGCTGAGAAGGGGTGACCAGAAATGGAGGAGAAAACCGGCGGGGGTGGTGGTGAGGTGTCTCTGAGTGAAGATGCTGTCTCGAGGCCGTGGCCCCTTCGTGATGGCAGACGGCACGCTTCTGTTTTTCTGAGGGGTGAATCCGAGTGTCTGGAATGGTCTAAGGAGAGCTCACAGAGGGGGTTCCTCGCTGAGGTTCCAGTGGGAGAAGCATGGGAAGGTCTGCAGGGACAGCACAGGCAAGCAGAATCTCAAGTCAGGAGTGTTGTATTTGGAGGAGGCGTGGGTAGGGTGGAGGGGTGCTTCTGGGGGCAGTAAAGGATCAGCTTAGGCGAGGAAAGGCGGGGAAGTCAGGGGGCCTGGTGTGGGAAGTGTGGATTCATCTTGAATAAAGATAAAGCCCCAGATGCTTAAGCCAGTGGCTCTCCACCGGTCGTGATCCTGTCCCCCAGAGGACACTTGTCAGGGCCTACAGATATGTCTGATTGTCTGCGGGGCGGGGTGCTGTCGGCACCTGGGGCACAGAGGCCAGAGGTCCTCCTGGAGTACTGTGGGATGCATGAGACAGGCCCCGCAGCAAGGAGTGTCTGGCCTGAAACGTGGTTGGTGACGAGCAGAGGAACCCGCCCCAAACGCACTTTACTGAGCCCCTTTTTCCTGCTGTGGACACTTCCGGCTGCACATTTCATTGGTCGCTTTAATGTTTCAGAGTTTAAGCAATGAGCTGCTATCTCCTCCCTGCCTCTCCCTTTTCTCTTCTTTGTTCTAGACCTTAAAGTAAAAAAAAACTGGCGTTACATTCCACATACGATAGATGAGAGCACAGTGTGTTAGTACGTCTGGCTTTTTCTCGCTTAATTGCTAACTTTCCGTCTTGTTACACTTTGGGTGTTTACTTCCCCATTCCTTGGTCTGTTATGCTCAAAAAAACGTAAACAATGCAATTCGGTACCGTTCTGTGGCCCCTCCTGTGACTGCAGTGGGATTACCTTCTGCCAGATGCTCCTGAGATGATCTTCATTTCCTGCCAAGTGTGACAGAAGGCGCTAAGCCGAGTGTACATGTGGAGCTGTGTTGATAAAAGACAGCAGAATGGAAGAGCCAAGTGTTTGCACCACAGTTACAGATACTGAAACAAAAAGGGGTGGTACAGATGAGAGATTCGCATCATCCAGAGCGAAGATTCGGAACCAGAGCGAGTCTTAGGTGTGCTGAGTGTGAACGGGGACGGTGGGCCCCGGTAGTGACCCCACCTCTCTCTCCCCCAGTGCTACATGTTCCACATGTATGTCGGGGTGCGTGCTGGCGGGGGTATCGGCGACGAGATCGAGGACCCCGCGGGCGACGAGTACGAGATCTACCGCATCATCTTCGACATCACCTTCTTCTTCTTCGTGATCGTCATCCTCTTGGCCATCATCCAAGGTGAGCGGCATCCTCGTCCGAGCTCAGGGCGGTCTGGCCTTGGAGCCAACACTGAAGGTAGGGTCAGAGCGGCGAGTGTTCTCTCGAAAAGCCAAGGAGAACATTTCCTTTCAGTGTTTCTTCGTTTGAAATGTGTAAGAAGGAACAGCAAAGATGCAGGGGACCCTGGTTCAGAGGGGACGGGGGACAGTTTCTTTGGCCGCCCTTCAAGTGACATCATGGAAAGAGCCCTTTCCGGGGCTTGATCCCAGCCCTGCTGACTGTTCACAACCCGGGGGGGAGCCGCCTAACCTCTCTGGGTCTGCCACGTGGAAAGTGCACACATCTCCGAGCCGTGGGCTGTGGGAAAGAGTTCTTTAAAAATGACGTCTGTCAGGGGCCCTGTGAGCTGGTGGTGGTGCTCTCATTAGAGGGAGCCGAGTCTGGTAAGTCTGAGGAACGTGGCCGACGTTCCCAGCTGAGAAGCGTCAGTGCTGGGGTCCACGCCCTCAGGTCTGCACCCAGGCCCACGCCTGCCCCGGTGCCACGCTGGCCAGGGTGCTTCATGTACTCCAGGGTGACTTGGGGTCGGGTGGGGGTTCGCCCTCCTTTTATTCCACGTTAACGCTTTTCCCTCAGAAAAATCACTCCTGTTGTCTTTTTTCTGCCTGCACATTTATCCTGGCACGATTTAAACATCTGCCAACGTGACATTATCCTCTAACTCCCATGGGCATAAGATGGCACTTTTTTTTCAGTAAAGTACGTGAACAGGTTTAAAGGGCCCATAATCCTCCCTTTATATGTCTGTATTCAGCATAGCAGTAATGTGTTTTCTAAGAGGGCAAAGTCATAAAACACTTGGAAGAAAAAGTTCAGCTGGCAGGTCACAGGAGAGAGAGGCCCCGAGCCTTTCAGCGCCGACTGACACTGTTAGTAACGTTACGGAAGGTTTATTCACGAGGGACTTGTGAAAAGAATGATCGGAGGCAGATTCCACACGGTTAATGTGGTCACGCTGGATTTGCAAGTAAGGACTTGGAGACCGCCTTAGTGGCGCTCTCTGTTCCTGACAACCATACATCTCAGCGGCTCCTTCTCGGCACAGAGCAGGTGCGAACGCACCGGCTGTTGGTGCCAGGGTGACCCCCCCGAAGGTCCTTCTGCTCTGTCTACGACACGTCAGCCCCCCATCAGGCAGCCTGTGCCCCAGGAGCCGCTGCTATGTCTGCCCCACAGAGGAGCTGCAGCCGCCCTGGTCGGGGGTGCAGTCTGTCCCCACGACTCGGACGTCCTGAGCTCTTCCCTGTGCTGGGCGGCGGCTGCTCCTCGGAGGGACTGGCCGTGGGGCCGTGAGTTTCATCGTTCTCCGCTTGCTGCAGATTAAAGCCTGCCTTTGTTTAACCCTAGGTTTGATCATTGATGCGTTCGGGGAACTGAGAGACCAGCAGGAACAGGTCAAGGAAGACATGGAGGTGAGTCTCCGCTTGTCTGCGCTTGCGTGGTGGCGGTGCACACGCCCTGTCCTGCTGCCTCTGTCAGAGAACCACGCCGGGGACGCGGGCACGGGCTTCCCTGGCCTGCTCTCGCTCAGCCAGTACCTGGCGCTGAGCGGTGCTGCCCGGTCCACACGCACCATCAGTGTTTTGTTCCTCAGGGAGCGGTAAGAGCACCCCTTCACAGTGAGGGCTTCACCCCAACGACAGCTAAGTCAGCAGGCGGTCACGGAGCAGCGCGAGAGCCCCTCGGAGGAGGGTCACCAAGTGCCGGGGTGGCTGGGGCTGGCAGCTCGTCTCCTCCAGGGTGACCAGGGGAGTTCTCAGGCCCATGCAGAGGCCTGGAGCTCACAGAGTGTGGGTTTGAGAGATGGCACAGCAGGCCAGTTTGGGCCATCGCCCTGCCCCACCGCGCCCTACCATGCACATCTCCAGGGCACTGCTCATGTGGGTTCCGGGAGAGCGTCACCACCTGAGGGTCTGTATACCAAGGCCCTGATCTTAGGGAGTTTGATGCGCAGATTCTCTCCTGGAAGCATTGCATTCTGATAGTGGGGCTGGAGACGGAGGCCAGCTGACGGAGAGTCTTGTCACCATCTGAGAAATGTACAGCGCGACCAAGAGGCTAGGACACTGGAGAGGGTTCAAGCAGGGCAGTGAGGTGATCAGATTTACACTTTAAAAAGATAACTGCAGGTTGAAACACGGGCATGAGCTAGACACTGGCTCGACCAGGACAGGGACGCGGCCGTCAGCATTTTCCCGGTAGGAGATTTGAGGCTTCACTCAGGAGGATGCGGGAGTCGGATGGAGTCAAGCAGTACTTCAGAGCCGCATGAAAAGAGCGTAGCGACTGGCCAGAGGCAGAGGATGCCAAGTGTGGAGCCGGCAGGGATGGGACAGAGGGTCCCTAGACAGAGGGAAGCGTGGCGGCCTTGTTACACCCAGAGGACCCGAGAGAGGTCACACGGGGAAGGGCAGCTTCCTGGGAAGAGCCGCCGAGTGTGAAGCTGTTTCTCTGGGACACCGAGTGGTGTGAGGACCAGACTGCTGGGTGGAGCCTTTCTGTGTCGGCTGCTGTCGATCAAGAAGGCAGGGGAGCGCTAAATTCTCTTCATCACCTTGACCCTGGACCCTGGTATCTAGGGCCATAAACATACCTCTGATGCCATTAAACAGCTTCTCCTTGGCGGGGAAGGTGAGCGTCGGGGGCCGCTGGAGGACAGTCATTGAGTTTGTCTGGATTGGCCCACAGGAAATGCTCCTGATAGGACGGGGGCCTGGCTCCTCCCAGGTGTTGGTACAGCTGCAGATGCAGACCTGGTGGGGAGAGGGCGGGGCTGGGATGGGGAGGGGGCCAGGGGAGCAGGCCCCCAGCTCCTGTCGGGGGGAAGCCGTCTGTGCATACGTGTCTGCTGGTGAGCTGTGTGCTTGCCTGAGTCGTTGACCGAACGCCTCACAGCTGGGATTGGCTGGTCCTCCCCAGATGGAAGGGGTGGGTGCCCCCCACCCTCTTGGTCACCAGACTCGGCTAGGATGGGTACCCGGTTCACATCAGTCCTGCCTTGTGACTGGAGTCAGCACCCCGACCAGAGTGATTGCCACGCTGGGGCGTTCTCACTTAGGCCGGAGAAGGGAGGGAGGAGGCGTGGCTTTTCCGCCATCATCTCCTGGACGCTCTCTGCCCCTGTGCTCCCTGCCAGCCGCCGGTCCCTACGCCCTGTAAACGCAGGGCCCGCCGGGCTGGCGGCGCAGGAGTCCAGTCAGTGTTCCGTGCTTGGCTTGGCCTCCTGGGATGGCTTCACGCAGACCAGGCCCAGCCGCTGCCCTGAGTGGTGAGCGCTGTTTTCCTCCTCCGTTGCCGTCCGAACCCTGACCTTCCCACGCTTGCCTTTGTCTTCTAGACCAAGTGCTTCATCTGTGGGATAGGCAACGATTACTTCGACACCGTGCCGCACGGCTTCGAGACCCACACCCTGCAGGAGCACAACCTGGCCAATTACCTGTGAGTGCGCCCCCACCCGGCACTGGAGAGCAGCGGGGAGCCCCTCTCTTTACCGTGGCCTCAGGCTTCTTGCACCTCCTGGAGGCAGAGACCCCAGGCTCGTGGTTTTTCTTCCCCAGGAGCAGCTGTAACCCTGTTAGTCTCTGTTTCCACACGCGGACTGTGATCCCTGCCCCGCGAGAGCAGCCGCCCAGCCGGGTCTGGCTCCGGCCTGTCTTCACGCAGCTCCCGGGAGGCAGAGCTTGGTCTGCACGCGTTTTAGCCCCTTTGAAAACCTATGTTAAAGAAGGTTAAGCTTTTGGTCCCCGTGGCGTTGCCTGCCCCGCAGGTGTGACCCATGCCTTTGCTCTGCCACGAGGAGTGAGCCCGCAGCAGGACCAGAAGGGCCTGATCCTGCTGATCCTCCCAGACAGCCCGTTGCTGACTCCTGCCTCTGTATCTGCAGGTTTTTCCTGATGTATCTCATAAACAAAGATGAAACAGAGCACACAGGACAGGTAGGTAGACAGTGACTGCATGTCATCCTCTGGAAGAAATGCTGAGTCTCTGCAAGTTGGAACCAAGGGAGGGCGCGGGGCGTTAAGAGGTGGACTTGCTGTCAGGCCTCGTGGTCACGGTGTCTTAGTACAAGCTCCCTGTGGTCCTGAGTGAGGGTGCGAGGGTGGCCTGAGGAGGAAAAGTCAGGTGATGACTGCGTGTGAAAAATGAAGCCGTTCTTAGCTGAGAACGCTGGGTCTGGGCTGCGGTAATTACAGGGTGCTTGGTTGCTTAATCAGGGAGCCGGTGATTTCAAACGAACTTCAACCCCACAGTGTTATGGTCGCTTAAAAATTACTGCATATTAAATGTTTAAGGTTCTCCTTGAACTGTTTGAAATTCTCTCCACAAAGATTCACCTCCAGTTGTCAGTAGTTCGAATTTGAAGGATATAATTAATGAAAATAATAGTTTTAAGGAGCCCTCAAAAACATGTTGCAAATGGTGTTTTTTAATCAGTATTACGTGATGGTCAGGGTGAAGACTAATGATTTGTTTTTGGGGGGGTGGTAATTAGGTTGATTTGTTTGTTTGGAGGAAGGACTGGGGATTGAACCCAGGACCCTCGTGCATGCTGGGCACGTGCTCCACCACTGAGCTGTGCCCCCCAGTTATTTGCTCATTTGTAGGATCAAACAAGGCCGGGTGTAGTTAGGAACTACCTAAATGAACCTGGGCTTCTCTAGTTACATAGCTGTGTGTGATACACAATTACACATACGCAGTATGTATAGTAACAAATCTGAGTTTCTTTCTGTCTTCTGTTTGTGGTAACACACAGACTCTGGGCAAAGACACGACGTTAACCCACTTCCTTTACTTTCACAGGAATCTTACGTCTGGAAGATGTACCAGGAAAGGTGCTGGGAGTTCTTCCCAGCCGGGGATTGTTTCCGGAAACAGTACGAAGACCAGCTGAACTGAGCGCCGACCCAGCCCGCCTCGGAAAACCCACGCGCGCTCTCGCTGTCTTGGCCTCTGTCTCTCCGACTCTCTGTCTCTCCGCTCCCTTGGAGCGTCCTGCTGATTCTGCGAATTGCCAGCGTGATGCGCTCTCTGGGGGCTGAGAAGCTGTTCCCGAATACCCGACCGGGCTTCTCCCCCTACCTGGCCTGTTTCCTTTGCAAACAAAGACTGAAGAAGAATCTGGACTCACACACAGACCGGCGAGGAGCTCTGGGCGCGCTCAGGCGTCACCCAGACAGGTCTGCTTCTGAGACTCTGGAACCTCCTTGAGCTGCGGGACGTGGAAGGGCAGCGGGGTCGCCACACTCATCCAGCCTCTTTATTTCCCCATCCTGAAGGGAGCCCTGGCCGTCACAGAGCGCGGTAGCACGTGACCGACGGCCGTGGACACCAGTTACAAAGAAATAGTGCCTTACTATCTGTGGGTTGAGCTATGCAGAAGAAACGTGCATGAAAAACATCTTTATTTCCTTTATGTCACCTTCTTTTTCCTTAGTTAGACTGGTTTGGTGAGGTTTGGGTTTTTTTTCCTTTCATGCTTTTCTTTAGTGGGGGAGGGTAACAAAAGCAGTTTGCGCGCACCTTTTGGCCAAGGCGGGTGGCCTGTCTCAGGACACGAGGAGGTTCTTCTCATTCCTCACATTCAGCTCCCTCCCCACGGGCTCCTGCTCTGATTTCCGTCATGCTCTGATGCCACGTTGCAACTTTACGAAATCTTTGTATGAGAACAAAAAGACTGCAAAAAGAAAAAACACACCTTCAAAAGAAATACTTCATTGCATGTTTATTATGCAAGTGTTAAGTGAACAGAGAACCCTCAGGAGCAAGCTGGTCAACGTGAGCGCACTCTCATGGTAACTACACGCATAGTGAGAAAGTGTCGTGGGCTAATCGTGTGCTTGGAGCCAGTGTCCGCCGCCGCCGCCAGTGTGGCAGCATCGAGAACGCGACTGCAGTCTTGGGCCTCTTCTTCGGCCACCTGTGATCAGCTGCTGACTGAGGACTTCTTGTCAGGCCACTTTTAACGTCAAAGCTGCAGTGACATCCATTCAGGGGTTTCATCGGTTGCATCAAAGAACACGGGTGACAGTGGCGATCACTCCATTTTGAGTCCTTTTAAGTGTGATGCAAACCTTTACAAATAAAAAGACATTCAGAGTGGAAGTGCAGTCGTTCTGCAGACGTCGGAGCTCTTTTGTCATAGGTCCGCTTGTTAATTTTAGAATTGGAAAACGGCTCTGATTAAACTACTTAACTAACTTTCTCACCCTCTTCTTTCTCCATTTCGCTTATCCCTGGGCTGTACCACTGAACCTTGCGCTCTGAACTCAAGGGTCTGGGGCAGCCAAACGCGGCCCCCAGGCCTGCGTATGTCCCGTAAGTAAGCCGCTGTTCTGCGTTCAGGGCTGCGGAGCTCAGGCCTAGGCCCCGCCCCTGTTGCTCCTTGTCCGGGGGCACCCAGGCTCCTTGGAGACCACCAGCAGCGCTGTGTCCCAGACCGGTTTCATCTGCGTACAGCTTTCATTTGAGCAAGCTCTTCCTTGTTCAGTGCAAATTCGCTTCCCGGTAATAACAGGGACTCATTTTCTGTCTTAGTCTGGAATAGGGTTAGCACACTAGCTAGTAAGTGACGTCTCAAACACTCAACCGCTAACGGGACGTCTGCCGCGTCCCAGGGGCAGTGCGGGGTGTCCCCGGTCACCCATCACCTCGTGGGCACAGCAGCAGAGCTGCGCTGCCTGGGTGTGGCGTCTGTCTCTTGGTGGCGTAAGTGAGGAAAACTTTTCCCTTCTTCTCTTCTAGGTCCGTTGGCTGGTTAAATGGACATAAGACAGGTTCACAGGAGAAAAGCATTTTGTACATACGAGAGCCCCACAAAGACATGAGAGGCTCCAGACGGTGAGGCCACTGAGGCTTAGAGGCCGTCCTGAGCTCAGGAGGAGAGAGTGGGGTCCGGGGCCCAGAGGGAAGGAAGACCGTGCACGGGAAGGTGAGAGGAGCGCGTGTGTGGGCGCCGGGCGGAGGCAGTGGGACACGGGGGTCTCTGAACAGCAGGCTCTGCCCGGCCCCTCCCCGGCCTCCTCGTGCTGGTTATCTCTGGTGGTGGCGCTCTTCCTGGACCCGGTCTTCTGTCTAAACTCCTTTAGGCGCTTAAAGGGGAGGCAAAAAGCTCTCCCTGAGTGTGTTGCCCTTGACTGTCTTCATCTCAGAGCCGTCCACGTGCCCCAGTGGCACGTTCTGGGGCGGCTGGTTCCGAACCTCCCAGCGTCATTTTACTGGGGGAGGAATCATTCGGCTGCAGCGTGGGAGTCCCCACTGCGGCTCAGGGAGGCGGCTGCATGCTCTGCGGGGTCTGAGTAACGTAGGTGTGGTCCGCTCCGCAAGACGTCAGAGGCCCCGCTCCCCGTCGCCCCACAGCGGAGCAGAGGCAGCTCACAGTGGAGGGGAGTCGACGCTCTTCCAGGACGTCAGATCTGGTAGACGCAGGCCTGCTGTTTATGATGCCAGCACATGTGAGAGGTGAGCCAGTACGTGTCCAGCTGTCGCCTGGGTCTGTAGGCTCTTGTGGACGCTCCTGGCTTCGGAGCCCTGGGAGGGGACAGATGGAACCCACGGGGAGAAGCAGAGAAAGAGGCTGGTTCCGAAGGGCAGCTTCCCTCCGCTCGTGGGCTTTGGGCATCAGGGTTGGAGCAGGAGTGAAGGGGCAGAGCCGGCCATTTTAGAAACTGTCGCTGCGTCCCTGGTGGCCCGCAGTCGGAGGGGAGGACTCCTCGGTTCCCGTCTCGGGGGGGGGGGTGCCTTTTTCATTAGCGTTATTAATTCTCCCGGGAAATGTCACACAGATGACAAGCACGCTGGGACTCCGCACTTCTCTGATTAAATTCAGGGCGGCCTGACTCAGAAATTGCAAACCCTTCAGAAGTTCTCAAATGTTCCGTCGCCAAGAACACCCTCCCGTCGTGTCTTCATTCCTTCACCTCCCCTCTCACAGACACCCCCCTTCCTATTCCCGCCGCCCCTCCCCCTTTTCTTCTTGGGAGCATCTCTGGACTCCACTCTGCAGGATGGACTTAGAGTCTCTGCCGCGTCTGAGGTTTTGCAGACGCACTGAGTGGTGCTTATTCCCTGGACGGGTGGACGGTATTTTTCACGTGCGGGAGACAGCTCGTTCTTACGCCCCACAGACACGCAGGTAAAAGTTGGACTGTAATGCGAATACTGTCTGCCTGGCTGGAAGAGCCTGTCCGTGAAAATTGTACTTTTTTCACTATCTTGCTTTGCCGGAGAGATGTCCCTGTTTTAAGTCCCCATTCCCGGAGTGCCTGTATCAACGCGTACCCCCTTCCCTCCTTGTTTGAAAGGCCTTTGAGGGCCGGCCGTCAGTGTGGTCACTACCTCGTTTTCCCCAGACATAGTGAAAGAGAACTTTTAAAGCAAATATTTATTACATTTACCCGAGCGTTGAATTCATGTACACTCGACACGGACACGGGTTGGGCAGTTAGGCATTCCCTCGATTATTTCTGCGTCTGCGTGTTGTGAAGAGGGTGACCTCCGTGTCACGTGGTTGATGACAACTCTGCCCACGACGCTGAAGCGCCTGACAGGAGTGGGGAGAGGAGTGTCTCAGTCCTGATACAAACGCATGGATGGCCTGGGGTTTTAGGAGCCGTAAATGTTAGTAGCACGGACTTCTTAGCAGGACAAGGTCCGAACCTGTCACATCATCTAGAATTCTGTCAGAATATTTAATCGTGTGGCCAGACTACTAAACAGGTAGCTAAGTAAGTCCTTAAAGTTGCGTGTTCCCCGAATCACAGGGTGCCGGCAACGTCCCAGCTCTGCACAGGAGCAGAGAGCAGTGGTGACGCCTTCCTCGTGCAGATGGCGCGGGAGGGCTTCTGGAACGTTGGCGCCGCGTTCCGGTGAAGCAGTCCAGGCGGGTTAAATGGCTCGGAAGAAGCCACAGCGCTGCTCAGTGGGGGGCTGGAGCTTTCTCTAAGAAGTCAGGTTTCTCTCTCATCTTTTTCCTATTATGGCCAGAATGGTTTGACACCTAACAGGTTCCATACGACCTGGCAAAATGAAACAGGGAGGCAGAGAGTGACCGAACTTCAGATGAAAGATGATCTGCTTCTGGGATACGAGGAGTTCCGGAAGTGATTCTCAAATGAGTAGCTGGCTCCGAAAATGCGCCACGGAGCACTGCTGTTTCGGAATGAAGGGACCAGCTGCCAGTGTTAGTCCCGGAGTCGGGCGGGCGTCATTCTGGTGCCGTATCTCGGGACCTGCCTGACTTGTGGAGCGCTGGCCTGTCCAGTGGTGCTGTAACCGTCCGTGAGGGAGAGCCAGTTCCCGTGTTAAACTCGTCGTGGCGAATGTAATCTGAGTCCCTGCTTTCTCCTCTCAGACTTGGGGTGTCATCAGCTGAGGCAGGGCTGCAGGGGACGTCCACAGGGTCCTGGTGCTATAGGGGCAAAGCAGTGTCGCTCTGCCTTCTTTGCCCCCAGCCCGCACCCCCGTGCTGGCTTCAGTTCCTCCCGCACGTCGTTCAGTTTCTGTGCGTTTCTTCCAAGAAGTCTGACAGTGATGAACGTGGACTCTGTTCCCCTTAAGCACCACTGAGCAGGCCTTGGAATTCTGTGCGTAGAACGAATTTACCTTTTATGGCCTGGTTAGCACCACTGAGTGTTGTGAAGTGCGGTGTTCCTAACATGAGCAGTGGTCTGTCGACAGAGCGGGAACTCCAGGGTTAATAATTTTTTAAAAGCCCACCAAACCTGAAGGTTATGGCACATTGTAATTTGAATTGCAGTTTGAACCTAATGTTCAAAAATGTATTAAAACTAGGGAGGCCTAATATTTTATATGCAAAATCAGAAGTACACAATATAATAAGTATGTCTTATACGTAACTATATACAGTACATTATGTACTGTACAAACTTAGTATATGGTATGTACTATAAGTAAATTATAAATAAGTATATATATAAATATATTATGTAAGTCCTCCCTCAGAATTTATAATTCTTCCCCAAACTCTGCATTCCTAATGCTTTAATTCTTCTCCAGTAACACTTTAAATCATTTTCTTGAGTTCCAAAAAATTCCCGTTGGTGTTTTGGTTATAATTTTGTTAAATTATCGACTGATCTATTGAAAATCGACATCTTGATAGTCTGTTGACTGAGAAACACGTCAAATGGCTAGTGGAACTCAGTACTTTCTGTGACAAAGAGCCAGCAGCAGAGTGGCCTCAGCAGAAATGGGTGGTCTCAGTTCTAGAGGCTAGAAGTCGGAGGTCACCCCTCCCCTTGAAGCTGTGAGGGGACTCTGCCCCAGGCCTCTCCCCTGGCTCCCACTGGCTTGCCGGTGGTCTTCAGAGACCCTTCACTGCAGCCGCGCGACTCTGACCTGTACGTGGCACTGTCCCTGGTGTGTCTGCCCATGGTGCCCTTGCATCAGGACAGCAGTCATACTGGACGAGGGCCGCCCCGGTGACCTCATTTTACCTCACTGACCACTGTGAAGCGCCTCTCCAAGGACCCTCCCCACCTCTGAGGTCCTGGGGGCCTGGCACCAGCTTATCTCTTGTTGGAAGGACACAGCTTAACCCCTAACAGTTCTGAAGCAATGGTTTTGAATCTTTTCCTTTATAGATCAGCCTTTCTTAAACTGATGCTAAGATCTAATCTTTGGTGTCAGTGAATTCTCCATAAGAATTTAAATTTTTAGTATTTCATGTCAAAACCAATATACACCTGTTATTTAAGCTAATGCTGGTTAATTTCTCTTTCTGAACCACTACCACCCCCCCCTTGTCTAAGTTAACAACATGTTGCTGGGAGTCTGGGGGAGCCCCAGGTGGTTAGTGTCCGGTGGGAGGAGAAGCCAGCGAGGACAGATGCGGAGAGGAGGTGGGGGTGGGAGGAGCGCGCCCTGCGGGTGTGCGGAGGCCGGTCAGCTGAGTAAGCCCGGCAGGAGCACGCGCGGAACCTACCGGGAGAGGAGCCCCGCCAGAGCTTTCTTCAGGCCGAAGGCAGGAAAGTGGCGAGTCAGAAGGGGGCTCTGGGGAGATCCGAAGCGTGACACGAGCTGGCACCGCTGTTGCTGGCCTTAAACCCAGAGGAGAGGAGGCACGGCGCAGACTCCAGAGGCCGAGGATGACCCTGGCTGGGGCCAGCAAGGGAGCAGGATGCCGGACCCACAGCCGCACGGGGCCAGATCCTGCCAGCGACCCGCTGCGCCTGGCGTGG